CTTATACATATTTTGAAAAGTCTAGCCTTATAAGTTACTTTTATCATTTTCTGCTCTCAGTGTATGGCCCACTGCTGGGCAGAGCCTCAGTACAAAGCCTATTTAAGGACATAAATAGGAATGAATTATAATTCATATTGTAACAAGCCTTAGCAGGCTTTTTCTTCACAAGGAGGCATATAACATTAGTAGGTCTGGCTGCTGATTAAACTGGTGAAAATTGACCCAGCAGGGCTACTTAAGCTGTATGATATTCTCTTTAAACATAGGCTCTGTTTGAAACTCAGCTGCCTTGTCCTTATTATCAGGATTTCTTAACACTTGTACATGATGTACATTTGTATTGCTGTAAAGGAAGGAGGAAAAGAAGCACTACTAAACATCACCAGAATTAAAATTCAATAGATACAGGAAAAGGCAGTTTCCTACAAAACTTTGTTAATCTTAGGGCTGTGTAATAAAAATAGAACTGAGAAAACTGATAGTTAAAAAAAATTCTCAAAATGCAGTAAAGCTCAGCCTCAAAAGTAGAAAAACAAGGGTAAAGAAATGAGGAATTGACATGATACATTTAATCACAGTATTTTCTTTTATGCAAAGATATGCATTTTGGGAGCTGCTTGTCAAGATAACATGACTTTAATTTTGACAAGTGTATAACAAGGATGAAGACACTTCCTTTGACATGTTGAAGTTGCAATAACAGACCAGGTACAGTGGCTTACGCCCATAATCCCAGCACTTTGGGAGGCCAAGGCAGGCAGATCACCTGAGGTCAGGAGTTTGAGACCAGCCTGACCAACATGGAGAAACCTCGACTCTACTAAGAACACAAAATTAGCTGGGCATGGTGGTGCATGCCTGTAATCCTAGCTACTCAGGGGGCTGGGGCAGGAGAATCACTTGAACCTGGGAGGCAGATGTTGCGGTGAGTCAAGATAGTAGCATTGCACTCCAGCCTGGGCAATAAGAGCGAAACTCCATCTCAAAAAACAAAAAAAAAAAAAAAAAAAAAAAAAAAAGAAATTGCAATAATAGTTCCTCTTCCTATTTTGTATATACCCAGATGTACACACACACTCACAAAGGAAGGCTTTAGAATAAAAGGTTTAATAGTGACTGTTCATTTCATTTAATACATAAGTACACTGCATTGTGTTTGATATCAGAATAAACAACTGCAGTGTTTTCAGTACATATATTATACTGAGATAAACAGATTTAAACAAAACACATTTCTCTCTACCGTACATTGAAAAGCAATAAGAGAAACTGAAAGTACAAGAAGAGGAAAGACCACAAACTCTTGCTTGATATGTTTTCTGGGAGGTGATAGATTAGCTGGTGAAATACATACATACACACAGTTTTGTAGGTGCAAATTTGGCCACAAACTGATTAAAGTGAACACCGAATTAAATATATAACAATTACCTAGATCAAAATTCTGTTTGGCATCTTTAAATGAATGAGTTAATTTAGGCCAGGCATGGAGGCTCAAGCCTGTAATCCCGACACTTTGGGAGGCCAAGGCGGGTGGATCAGTTGAGGTCAGGAGTTCGAAACCAGCCTGGACAATAGGATGAAACCCCATCTCTACTAAAAATACAAAAATTAGATGGGTACTTGGGAGGCTGAGGCATGAAAATGGCTTGAACTTGGGAGGCAGTGAACTTGGAAGTTGCAGTGAGCTGAGATCGCACCACTGCACCGACCTGGACGACAGAGCAAGACTCCATCTCAAAAAATAAAATGAATGAGTTAATATATAAACCTGGCCCAAGTGATTAAGATAAAGGCAAAGTATATGTATGTGGTATTCATGGTAGATGTTTGGCATAAGGAAGTAAAATCAGAAAAACAGGAGATGGGGACAGGTACAAGAGGACAAGTAAAGACTTGCCAGGAAGAAAATGTTGAGAAGTTAGTGAATCTGTGAAAACTGTACTAAGTTTACAAGAAAGAGAGAACAAATGTTAAAAAGTTCAGTTCTTTTAAAAATTTTTTTTTAAATTTTAATAACTTTGGGGATACAAGTGATATTTGGTTACATGGATAATTGTATAGTGGTGAAGCCTGAGATTTTAGTGTACCTGTCACCTGAGTAGTGTACACTGTACCGAATATGCAGTTTTTTTCAAATCCTTTGCCCCTCCTTCTACCCTTCCCCTTCTAAGTCTTCATAGTCTGTTATATTACTCTGTATGCCTTTGCAATACCCATGGTTTAGCTCCCCACTTCTAAATGAAAACATATGGTATTTGGCTTTCCATTCTTGAGTTACTTCACTTAGAATAATGATCTTCAGCTCCATCCAAGTTGCTGCAAATGACATCATTTTACTCTTTTTTATGGCTGAGTAGTATTCCATGGTGTATATATACCATATTTTCTTTATCCACTCATTGGTTGATGGGCACTTAGGTTGATTCCATATCTTTGCAGTTGTGAATTATGCTGCAATAAACATACATATGCAGGTGTCTTTTTAATATAATGACTTTTTTCTTTTGGGTAGATACCCATTAGTAGGGCTGCTGGATTGAATGGTAGATATACTTTTAGTTCTTCAAGAAATTTCCATACTCTTTTCCATAGAGGTTATACTAATTTACATTCCCACCAGCAGTGTACAAGCATTTCCTTTTCACCATATCCACACCAACATCTATTTTTTTTTTAACTTTTTAATAATGGTCATTCTTACAGGAGTAAGGTGGTATTTCATTGTGGTTTTAATTTGCAGTTCCCTGATGATTAGTGATGTTTAGCATTTTTTCGTATGTTCATTGGCCATTTGTATATTTTCTTTTGAGAAATGTCTGCTCATGTCATTTGCCCACTTTTTAAGGGGATTATTTTTTCTTGGTGATTTGTTTGAGTTCCTTGTAGTTTCTGGATATTAGTTCTTTGTTGGATGCATAGTTTACAAATATTTTCTTCCATTCTGTGGGTTGTCTGTTTAGTCTGATGATTATTTCTTTTGCCGTACAGAAGCCTTTAGTTGAATTATGTCCCATTTATTTATTTTTTTGTTTTGTTGCATTTGCTTTTGCGGTCTTCATTATAAATTCTTTGCCTAGGCCAATGTCCAGAAGAATTTTTCCTAGGTTATTTTCTAGAATTTTTATGGTTTCAGGTCTTAAATTTAAGTTTTTGATCCATCTTGAGTTGATTTTTGCATAAAGTGAGAGATAGGGATCCAGTTTCATTCTTCTACATGTAGCTAGCCAATTTCCCCAGCAACACTTATTAAACAGCATATCCTTTCCCCAGTTTACGTTTTCGTATGCTTTGTCAAAGATCAGTTGGTTGTAGGCATTTGGCTTTATTTCTGGGTTCTCTATTCTGTTCCATTAGTCTGTAACTTCTTTTATACCAGTACTACCCTATTTCAGGAACTATAGCCTTGTAGTATAACTTGAAGGAAAGTTTGGTTCTTTTTTTTTTTTCTCTTAGAAATATTTGTGTTTTAGAGATGGGATCTTGCTGTGTTGCCCAGGCTGGTCTTGAACTCCTGACCTCAAGTGATCCTCCCATCTCAGCCTCCCAAAGTGCTGGGATTACAGGCATGAGCCACCACACCAAGTGAAAGTTTGGGTTTTAATGAATATGTATTATAATGTGTATTACTAAGAAGAAATAGTAAATAATTACTCTTAATTGGTTTAAAAGAGAAAAAAACGCTTCAGAAAAAAAAAACCCAGCACCTAACAATTATAACTAGCATCTATATATCAATTTATAGTTTAGAAAACACTTCAATAATTATTATTATACTTCAGCCCTAGCTCAGTCTAGCATATACTAAATACTCAATACTTGTAAATTAAAGGACATTTATAGTAAAATTGTTAAATTTTAAATATTGTAAAGAATTTCTGGTTGAATGGCATTTCACTAAGTATTTGGAGTTAAAAGAGCTATAATGAAAGAGAGGAATGTCTTGTCTACTTATTTGAAGTCTTTTTAATCCTACAAATTTTCAATCTGCATAATTATGTGGAATTTGGGTTAAGGATGGGGCTAGGAGCCAAGCTTTGAATCAAGTGGAATAAATATGTGGTCAAGCACAAGAGTAAAAAAATTAACAGGGCCAAGGACAATAAGCAGCCCAAATCACTGGAGTTCTTCATTTTAATATTGTATTAGTGGGTTATCTCCTAGATGTTAGTCAGCTTTCTTAGATAAATTTTCTCTTTAAGTACAAGATACTCATAAATTGCCTCAAAAGCATTAATAGAAGGTGAATGAAATATATTTTAAATTACTTCCCAAATTGTATTTAAAATACCCTCTGGCCCATAATCTCAGTGACTCTGGAGGAGAGGCAGGAGGATCACCTGAGGCCAGGAGATCTAGACCAGCCCAGGCAACATAGCAAGACCCTGTCTTTACAAAAATAAAATATAAAAAACTAGCCGGGTGAGGTAGCGTATACCCATAGTCCCAGCAACTCTGGAGGCTGAAGCAGGAGGATTAGTTGAACCTAGGACCTTGAGGCTGCAGTGAACTATGATCGTGTCACTACACTTCAGTCTGGGTGATAGAGCAAGACCAATCTCTAAAAAATAAAAATAAAATATCCCGTGAAATTATATCTTTAAAATGCAAAATCTTGAAGAATGCATCCCCAATAAAATTCTCATGATAGTTTTAGATTCTTTTTTTTTTAAGACAGAGTCTCGCTCTGTTGCCCAGGCTAGAGTGCAGTGGCACAATCTTGGCTCACTACAACCTCCACCGCCCGGGTTTCACATGATTCTCCTGCCTCAGCCTCCAGAGTAGCTGGGATTACAGGCGCCCACCACCATGCCCAGCTAATTTTTTGTATTTTTAGTAGAGATGGGGTTTCACCATTTTGGCCTGGCTGCTCTCAAACACCTGACCTCAGGTGATCCTCCTGCCTCAGGCTCCCAAAGGGTTGAGATTATAAGTGTGAGCCACCATGTCCGCCCAGTTTTAGATTCTATTGTATAAGAGAAAGGCTAGTTCTCTACCTTGGGATTTGATTTCATCCATTGCTTCATCCACCACATTGTTGCTGGCCTCTTTTACAGGAACATGTGGTACACTCTGTAAAGTCTTTGAAAAGAGAAAAAAAATCACCAATTTCAATGTGACTTGATTTTCCACAGAGTTGTATCAATTCTCCCAATTAAAGGGAAGTTAATTGTTTTGTAAGAGTTAACCAAACATTCCTAGTTAATTTTTTCTGGGATCTAATGCTGTGTATTAGAAGCAAAGAGGTAATCACAGTCTGTTTACTGCATTTACAAGATAAAAGGTATTGGTTCAAAATGTCATCACATCTTCCTATTACTAACCAAGTAATATGCTAGGAATATCATTTTAGGTGTACATTAATTCTTGAATTATGCAATACTTTATAAAAACATAATTTGAGACCATAGCATAGGGAAATCAGACATTTGGAAATGCTACTGTTTTACTACTAGAATCACTTTCTGTATTTGTGGCAAAAAGAAAAAGCATTTTATCTTAGTTGAGAAAATTAAAGATTAATTTTATGAATAGCAACCAAATAGCGTTTGTATACATGCTGATGTACTTTAAAAAGCTGACAATAGGATTTTTTTTTTGAGACGCAGTTTCACTCTGTCACCCAGACTGAAGTGCAGTGGCACCATATCGGCTCACTGCAACCTCCACCTCCTGGGTTCAAGTGATTCTCATGCCTTGGCCTCCCAAGTAGCTAGGATTACAGGCGTGCGCCATCATGTCTGGATAATTTTTGTATTACTAGTGGAGACGGGGTTTCGCCATGTTGGCCAGTCTGGTCTTGAACTCCTGACCTCGAGTGATCCGCCTGCCTTGGTCTCCCAAAGTGCTAGGATTACAGGTGTGAGCCATCGGTAATAGGATATTTTAAAATCTCACTTGTGAATCTATAGGACTCACTTGTAACTCTATAGGACTATTTTCAATTGTCTCCTCTTTTCTGTGAAATGTTCTTCCTTATTGTAGCCTTGTATTTATTTAAACACAAAGTTACTTAAATGATTAACCTGAAAATTACATTTTCAGCATGATAGTAAAGTGGCCCTAAAAGCTGGTGGTTACAGTTTTTAGGGTAACTTTAGAAAGCGGTCTTTATTTATGTGTAATTTATAACAGCTTTTCACAAATAATTTGCCTGTCTTTGGAAGTTTCCTACAACTTACTCAAATGAATCAGCTTGATAATCAACATGAATTTTTCCTTTTGCAATTTTACTTATCTTTTTGAATAGCTACATCTTTTCTTTTTTCATAAGAAAATTGATTTATCTAGTTTATTCTCCAGTATTAAGAGCTGATTTATTCATGCCAACTCTACCTCATGAAGCTCTTTCACTTCAGTAGAGTCCCATTTCCTCTCCTTGTCTTCTTTTCCATTTTCCTGAAATGGAAACAGTGTTAGTAAGTGGTATTCAAAAGGAGCTCCAGATTAAACTACTGTCTTGTACTTTAATACAGTAAGCTTTTTATTTTTAAAAATTTCACATGAGTAAATATTATGTCAAATAAAATTAAACAAAGTAGTTGTATCAACAAATTCAAACAGTAACAGACTTTTATATATAATCAAGGAATGCCAACAACTAGAAATAGGTCTCTGTTACTCAACTATTATTTTGACCCCCTTTTCAGCATTTCTGTCAAAACCTGATGCAGAATATTTCAACTAAAAAGAGAAATAATTAAATGATAGACTGTGATATTGCATCTCACTTTTCGCAAGAATATTGAATCTCAAATCTTCTCATAAATGTAAGAAACCTGTGTGGGACAAGAACCTGAGCAGGTTTGACTTCCTCTTGAGATGCTGACTTATTCATCTGGACTCCAAAAGATATCCTAAATGGTACAGAAGAATATTACTAGACCAGTATTAATAACAAAAAGAAATAAAATATTAATAAACAAGACAAAGTACTCCAGAAGATCAAAAATCTCTCTCACTGCTACCCTCACCTCGCCCCACAATTCTATTGAATGATAAATTCTCAACTGCTGAACTTTTCCAACTGTACTACTGTTATGACCGTTGGCTACTGACCAAAGCTAGATCAGCACTCAGGGAGACAAGGAAATGCACCATAGTAATCATCACTATTATCATTAAAAAAAATACAGCAACAGTAATGTAATTGCATTTTTTAACATGATTTCCATCCTCATTAATTTTTGAGATAACAAGGTGAGGTAAAGTGAAAATTTTCTGGCCACCTAATTTATGAAAGAAAGGTAGGCAGAGAATAGAATAATGGTATCTCTAAAAAGCATTTTTTTGGCAAGGGAGAATTCGAGAAGAATATGACTTAACTGGTTTATTTATTCATTTTGAGGTATTAAAATAAATAATTACCAGATCCCTACTTTACTGCAAATGACTGTAGATTCATAGATTATCAAATCACTGCCATGCCAAAAATCATTTAAGAGTTTGTGTATATATGAGCTAGGTGTTATGTAAAGAGTAAATTATATTCACACAGTCTCTGCCTCCAGGACACTTACAGTCTAGAGAGACTGTAATTTGAAGTAGTATGTATCTAATGCTCTCACTTTTTTTTTTTTTTTTTTTTTTTTTTTTTTAATTTTCTTTTTTTTTTTTTTTTTTTTTTTTTTTTTTTTTTTTTTTTTTTTTTTTGGAGACAGAGTCTCACTCTGTCTCCCAGGCTGGAGTGCAGTGGCGCAATCTCAGCTCACTGCAAGCTCCATCTCCTGGGTTCAAGCGATCCTCCTGCCTCAGCCTCTCGAGTAGCTGGGACTACAAGTGCCCACCACCATACCTGGCTAATTTTTGTATGTTTAGTAGAGACGGGGTTTCACCATGTTGGCCAGGCTGGTCTCAAACTTCTGACCTCAAGTGATCTGCCCACCTCAGCCTCCCAAAGTGTTGGGATTACAGGCATGAGCCGTCGCACCTGGCCATTCCCTTTTCTTTTTATCAACATAACACATCTTCTAGCTAAATAAACCAAAAGTACTGCATTTGGAGACAACAGTTTCCAACATTTAAAAATGGCTGGCTCAAAACCTTTTTGAAGTGCTTACTAAATAATAAATAATAGAAAACAAATTTATGTGATAGATCCTAACTGTATATTCTCACAACCTCATTTCTTTGCTTATGGTGTCCAACTCCTGAAATTGCTGAGAAGCTTTCTTCCATTCCTTTTAAAATCTCTTTAGTTTGGATGCACTCAGATAAATTCAACTCAATAAGCCTTTATTGGGTGCTTTCTATATGCAGGCAAATGTTGGGGCTTAAAAGGATGAATAAGACCTGCTGTAAAGAGTTCCCAGTTTAGTAAGGGAAAGATATGCAATTCAATCTGCCAAGCGCAAGAGTAGAGGTGCACACAAAATGTTAAGGAACAGAGGAACAAGCAATTAATTTTCCCAGGGTAGTTAGGGAAGTTTTTGCAGATAGTAAAACACTAGTAAGAAATTTTTTGTGTAAATGAAGGAACAAAGGAACAAGGATATTTGAAGCAGAAGGGACAAACACTCAAGGTTCAAAAAGTGTTTGAAGCATTCATGTAGCAGATATGCAGATATGGAGAATGTGTTAGTGGCCTGGATAGAAGATCAAGTCAGTGGCAACATTCCCTTAAGCCAAAGGCCAATCCAGAGCAAGGCCCTAACTCTCTTCAATTCCGTGAAGGCTGAGAGAGGGGAGAAAGCTGCAGAGGAAAAGCTGGAAACTAGCAGAGGTTGGTTCATGGAGTTTAGGGAAAGAAGTCATGACTTAAAAGTGCAAGGTGAAGCTGCAAATGCTGATGTAGAAGCTACAGCAAGTTTTCCAAAAGATCTAAGATCATCAATGAAGTTAACTACACTAAACAATGAATTTTCCATGCAGACAAAACAGCCTTCTATTGGAAGAAGATGCTATCTAGGATTTTCATAGCCGGAGAGAAGTCAATGTGTGGCTTCAAAACTTCAAAGGACAGGCTTACTCTCTTGTTTGGGGCTAATGTAGCTGGTGACTTTAAGGTGAAACCAATGCTCATTTATCATTTCAAAAATCCTAGCCTTTAAGAATTATGCTAAATCTATTGTGCCTCTACCATATAAATGGAACAACCAAGTCTGGATGACAGCACATCTGTTTACAGTATGGTTTGTGGAATATTTTAAATACACCATTGAGATCTGTTGTTCAGGAAAATAGATTCCTTTCAAAATATTACTGCTCATTGACAGTGCACCTGGTCACCTAAGCGCGCTGATGGAAATGTACAAGTTGTTTAATGTTGTTCCTATGCCTGATAACACAGAATCCATTCTGCAGCCCATGGATCAAAGACCAATTTCAATTTTCAAGTCTAATTTGAGAAATACATTTCATAGGGCTATAGCTTCCGTAGATAGTGATTATTCTGATGGATTTGAGCAAAGTAAAGTGAAAACCTTCTGGAAGGTATTCACCATTCTAGTTGCCATTAAGAACATTTGTGATTCATGGGAGGAATCAAAATATCAGCATTAACAGAGTTTGGTAGAAGTTGATTCCAACCCTCATTGATGTCTTTGAGGGCTCCAGGACTTCAGTGGAGGAAGTAACTGCAGATGTAATGGAAATAGCAAGAGAACTAGAATTAGAAGTGAGGCCTGAAGATGTGAGTGAACTGCTGCAATCTCATGATAAAACTTGAATGAATAAGCAGTGTCTTCTTCTAGATGGGCAAAGAAAGCAGTTTCTTAAGATGGAATCACTCCTGGTGAAGACACTATGAACGTAGTTGAAATGGCAACAAACTTAGAATACTACATAAATTTAGTTGATGAAGCAGTGGTAGGGTTTGACAGGACTGACTCTAATTTTGAAAGTAGTTCCACTGTGGATAACAGGAAGAGTCAATCAATGTGGCAAACTCAGTTGTCTTATTTATTTATTTATTTTTGAGATGAAGTCTCCTCTGTCGCCCAGGCTGGAGTGCAGTGGCGCGATCTCGGCTCACTGCAACCTCTGCCTCCCAGGTTCAAGCGATTCTCCTGCCTCAGCCTCCCGAGTAGCTGGGATTACAGGCACACATCCCTGCACCTGGCTAATTTTCATACTTTTAGTAGAGACGGATAACTCACCCTAACATACCCATAGTCCTGCTGGTGGACAGCGCAATGAAGTTCTTGCCAAGCAGAGGCAAGGAGTATTCTACCACCAGGTCATTTCACAAGACAATTGTAGTACACATTGTTACCTGTCATAAATTCTCAGCTTTGGAGCATGTTCCAGGTGCCAAAGGAGCAGGACTCACAGTTTCAGATAAGGCCAGGAAAGGCAGGGAGGCCTGCTTGATATGCCAAATGAACTCAGCTCACAATATCTCTCTTCCTATGTATAGAATTCTTCCTTTTGTTTATATCTGATATGCCCTTTTAGTTATGTTCAAGTTAGGTTCAAAATTATTGCTCTAATAACACAATCATACTCTGCAAATTAGACCTTTATCAATATTTTGCAATATATGCTTGACATGAAAAGTGTTTGGGTAGATTCTAAATCTAGTCACATTATCACAGAATATTTCCTCATTACATTTGCCAGTTGGGAAACTGGGATCTACAGACAAAGCCAATTGACAAATATAAATATCCTGTGATAATGTGAATATACCATCAATTATAATTTATACTCACAAATTTTGAATTGTTATGAAAAATGTTTACATTTTTTATCACCTACTTGAACTATGAATTAAGTTCTCATCAATAATGACCACCAAGAATTTGAAGAGATCACTGTTAAACTGTCTCATTCAAGAACTGCATGCAGTCATTTCAATCATAAAATCCTCTATAAAAAAAGTCATGTTTACAGAAGCGATCTCAGGTTTTACATTAAATTTTGAGACAACTTTATTGGGAAACTTATACAAATTCTATATTTAGTGTCATCCTTAATATGTCTATTTTAATTTTCTCATTAAAAGTAATATAAAGAAAACAATTTTTTTTACCAAGCCCCATGTAGTTAGTTGCCTCCAAATCCCCTTTAATTTATCCTACTGTGCTGTACAAATATTATTTCTATGGATGTCATGATGTAAAAAAAAAAAAGGTTGAGGACCACCGCTTTAACATTTAGATAAGAATTCTTAACCTGGGGTTCCTTGATAGGTTTTAGTGGGTATGAGAAATATGCAAGTACATCTTTCTGGAGAGAAGGTGAATAGTTTTCATCAGGTTCTCAAAGCTTAAGAACCAGCTAATCTCAGAGATTTCAAGCTCCCCTATAATTTCACCCTGGAAGAAGTATTGATACAAGTTAAGGGTTAAATGGACTCCAGTGGTACAACCAGGCCTCTAGTATCATAAGTGGGAAGAGTGAAAGTGCTGTAAATAGAACTAGGGGGACTTTTGTCTCTTTGGCTCCCTCTTTTGGGACTCCTGCTCTTGGCCTCTCTCCCCACAAACTCAGCTAGGATAGTAAGAGGATCCTAGGATCTTCACTCTATTACAAGATATCTCCTATCTCAGATCACCAGAATACCTAGCAGGAACCAGGGTGAAGTCTAGGGAAGAATAGGTATAAGTGGGGCACAGAGCATAGATTTCATCAAATGCTCACTGTGGTCCAGCTCCGTTCACAAAATGACTGTATTGGGATCTGCAGACAAAGCCTGAAAGCCAAAATCTTAAAAAGGGCATTTGCCCAGACCTTCTGTTCTTTGTTTCTATAGAACTTTGTACATATATAGACTTCTCTTGTATTTCTACATATCTCCTTTGGCTCCTAGTAGAGGTGACAGAAGCCATGGCACCACTGAACTATGGTCTAATTATTTGTTGATGTGTTTTTCCCTGCTAATTGGATTTGCACCCCTAAGAGGTAGATAAACATTTGTCTTGTTCTTAAAGCAGTGTGTAGTATATGATACACATTCAATAAATATTTTCTCAATTATTAGTAAATAAATTAATGAACATGCACCAATGGTTTCCAAATCTTCATTTCCTTAAAAGGTATATACCAAGAAGAGATATTTTCCCTGAAAATTAATAATTTAACTTCCTGATAAAAACTATGTGAATTTGTAACTTCCTGATACAAACCATGTGAATTCAATTTTGATCAGAATTTTATCACCTTAGATATGTGGAACAAAAATGTTTTACACTTACCTAAAGATGAAACATGTCTTGACCGCTAATCTACTTCTCCTACAATTTTTTTTTTTTTTTTTTTTAGATGGAATCTAGCTCTGTTGCCAGGCTGGAGGGCAGTGGTGCGATCTTGGCTCACGGCAACCTCCGCCTCCTGGGTTCAAGGGATTCTCTTGCCTCAGCTTCCCGAGTAGCTGGGATTACAGATGCGCAACACCACACCTGGCTAATTTTTGTATTTTTAGTAGAGACAGAGTTTCACCATGTTGGCCAGGATGGTCTCCATCTCTTGACCTCGTGATTCACCCACCTCGGCCTCCCAAAGTGCTGGAATTACAAATGTGAGCCACCACATCTGGCCTACTTCTTTTACTTCGCTGGCTGTCATTCTTTGTGTTAATAGTAGGCGAAGTAGGCCGGGCTCGGTGGCTCACAGCTGTAATCCCAGTACTTTGGGTGGCGGAGTAGTGTGGATCACCTGAGGTCAGGAGTTCAAGACCAGCCTGACCAAAATGAAGAAACCCTGTCTCTACTAAAAATACAAACGTGGTGGCGTATGTCTACTCGGGAGGCTGAGGCAAGAAAATCGCTTGAACTCGGAGGCGGAGGTTGTGGTGAGCAGAAATCACGCCATCGCACTCCAGCCTGGGCAAGAAGAGGGAAATTCTGTGTCAAATAAATTTAGCCGGGTGTGGTGGTGCACGTCTGTAATCCCAGCTACTTGGGAGGCTGAGACAGTAGAATCGCTTGAACCCGGGAGGCGGAGGTTGCAGTAAGCTGAGATCGCAACATTGCACTCCAGCTTGGGTAACAAGAGCGATACTCCGTCTCAAAAAAAAAAAAAAAAGTTATCTTAATTACATAGAAAGCTTTACAGTTTATACTCCACTTTACCATACATTATCTCAAGAATCCTGTGAGTTAGGGTTCCATTGTAGAGATAAAGGAATTAAAGCTCAAAAAGTTCAAGCCATTTACATAAGGTTTTAGAGCTGGGACTAGAAACCAGGTCTTCTGATTCCTATGGTAGAGCTCTTTCTCACTGCAAGGTTAATGGGCTTAAGCCTTTCATCTTCCGAAAGAATTTCTTAAGAGCATGTTACCATGAATAAGTAGATAATCAGTGCTGTCGTCCCTGAGTCAGTAAGAAGACCTACGGATTTGAATATTACTTTTTCTAGAATGATATTTTGGTTCATAAACCACATATATTTCATTTATTTGAGTTCATTCAGCTTCCGGCTATGTGTATTTCTTGGCTATGTGTCTAGTTTCCTGTTTGGTCTCCCATGCATTGGTTCAAAGTTCTTACTTCTGAACCTTGCCTTTTCTTTTCCTGTTTACTACGGAGCTCTGGAAAAAACACAGTCAGATTGTTTAATCTGTGAACCATCCATCTTTGTTTAATTTTGTCTCACAGGCACCCCTGATCACCACCAGGGGGCAAAAGCCTACCAGCTGGCTTCCCTGCAGTACACTCCATATAGGACTGTACAGTACAGGGACCCTCAGTGTCTGATTCTTGATGGAACCTCCCTGCTAATTATTTCAACCACAGGGCCCCAGGGAGAGAACAAAGGCTCAGCACAGAGGACTCTTGTGGCATTTAACCGTACAGCAGCCAGAAAGAGCTCATGACAGCCCTGTCAGTTTAAAAGGAGCAACGAGATCCAAGGGTGTTTGAGTGATAAACAGGAGGGGGTGGGTTTTAATAACTGCAAACTCTCGAGTGTGTGTGTTTTCTACAGCTTTGATATGTACGGTGGTATTTACCAGCTCCTCCACTCAGACTGAGAAAAAGCTTTGTCAACCCTCTTTCTTTGTGTAAGTAATCAGTGGTATTTGCATTGTGTGATTTTTTTCCCATTTTAATCTTGATTTTCCATTACATTCTTGGCTCATGTTCTGCTGACAGTTTACCTCTGAGAAAATCATTCCCTTGAAATATCTTTTAATCCACATTTTTACATAGGTCTGTGAAATAATGACATTTAGACACGAAGGAGCAGAACGCTTAACGAGCAAAGCCTGTTTAATTAAGAGACTGTCTTCACAGCAGGAGGCAAGTGGGAGGTCAATAGAAGGCTGGACCCTCACAAGTCAGCGAGCCCAGCTTCCTCGGACTCCCAGGCGCACTCAGCTTCTCTTTCCTCAGGAATAATGAATGAGTCTTTAGACAGGCAATAGAAGGAAGCATGAGGGTACCACTAACCTTTCCAGGGTATCAAACGGAAAATGGTTTTCTTTCCAGAAGTCTCATCATAAAACATGGACGGAAGGGTGGTAAAGTTCAGAAAAAGCCACCGATAACCGGGGCGAAGGGGGCAAACTGGTCTACCCCAGTCCTGTCCGCGCCCAGTGAGAGGGTTTGAAACCCCGCGGAGCCCGTTCCCACCAGTTTGCTTCAGGATTTTCACCTCAGCTGCTTTTTTCTAAGGTTGGTTAAGCTCTGCGCCGCCCCACCTCAGAAGATGGTTGTCTCTGAGGAGTGAGGACTCCAGCGGCCCCCCTCGCCCTGGGACCCCTCACCCGGCTGGCTCCCCTTGGCCCCTTCCCCCACCCCACTCCACAGCACCCTGCGCGGGCAAACCGCGCGTTTCCAGCGCGAAGGAGGCAACCCAAGAGGGGGCGGCGGTACGAGGCGCACGCACTCGACCGGCTTCCGGCAACTGAAGGGTTACGGCTAGGCGGCGGCGCGCGCTGAGGGGAGAGGCGGTAGCTGACAGGTGGCGCCTGCGCACTGGGAGCGCTCATTGTGCCCCGCAGCTGCCGAACCGCCCGCCCGCCGCCCGTTCCGCGCGTCAGTCGGCGAGAGTCTGGTGGTGGGTGCGGAGTCTGCAGCCGTTCCCGCGGCCTCCTCCTCCTCCCCGTTCCCTTCACCCCCATCCCGCACCCCTTTCCCCATCCCGGCTCCGTCACCCTCCCGCCCCCCACACTCAGGACAAGAATGCCCTGCCCGGAACAACCCAGCAGCGCCTAGATGGCTTTGGTCACGGTCCAGCGGTCACCTACCCCCAGCACCACCTCCAGCCCCTGCGCCTCGGTGAGTCCTTCCTGGCGGCCGCTCCGCTTGCTTCTGTCACTGCGGCTCCGCTTTGCCTCAGCGGGTCCCGCCGAACCCCACTGCGCACGCGCTGCGCCGCTTCCCAGGCCTTGGCACTCTGCTGCCGCGAACCCCCCACACCTTCATCTTAAAGACGAGCAGCAGGAACTATGAGACGTTGATTTTTGCCCCCATCACCCTGAGCACCTAGCTCCTCACAATCCTCGCCCTGAAATCCCCTGCGGCATGCCTCCCTATGGCTTGAGCACTTCCTTCTGGTAATGAGTCATTCTTGCTTTTCACCCTCCCCCTTCTTTTACCCTCTGTTGCTTTGCTGCAGGGAGGGGACCGTGAGCCTCCTGCGTTGCCCCTTACCCACACCCACATCTCTTACCCATACCATTTCATGGACCCGTTCAGTATTTGCACACTGCACACCCTTCTTCGGATTCGCCAGGGTGCGCCTTCCCCTAGTCACTTGCTGGCTTTCTTGTGCCCCGTACTGTTCAGGCTTTGAACTGCCCAACGGTAGTTACTCCTTGGTTTCTCCCTCCTCCCCCTCACCCCAAAGGGTGGCATTGATCTCTGTTTCTTGGATCTCTTACCTTTCCTCTGTGAGGTCCCGAAGCATCTGGTACTGCTTGGTGATCAGTGCCAAAATATTTCCGTCTTACAGATATTTATGCTTTATACTCATTGCTCATGATCATTCTTGTTCTTAGTCGTGTTTGTATGGCTCGTTACCTCGGATGCCTATGCCAGTAAAGCATGCTCCCAGAAGGAAAATACACAGTAGCCAGCCTTTCCCCGCTGGGCCCGTCTTTGCCTTATCTCCTCGCCCCACCCCCACTCTTTTACACTCCATTCTCTTAGGCTTCGTTTTTGAAAATATTTATTTTTAAAAACAACATATTGCACCAGTGGGGCAAATGGGCTTTGAAAAACAAACATCCAGATGTTTTAGAGAGAAATAGACTGAATGAAAAATGCAAGCAACTGGAAAAACCACCTTGAACTTCCTACAGAACTGTAATTTTAATAACTGTATTGATGGATTTAGTAGTATCAAGTTGCAAAAAAAAGGTATTTAGTAAACACTCTACCAGTTTCCACTTAAAAAAAAAATCAGGTTACTCTTAATATTTGTATGTTAACTGAAGTGTGAGCTTTGATATCCTGAAATTTGCTGGCTTGTGATTTCAGTATAGTTTCCTGAATTTCAGAATTTTGTTGTGTATGGTTGTGGTTTCTTCTTTTCTGTGCTTTCATTGCATTTTGTGTGAACAAACTGACAGCTCTATCTTAATTCAATAAGTGATTGTATTTCAAAGGTTAAGATAATCTCGTGTTGTTTCAGAGAATAGAACTGAGATCCTTGGTTGAGGAAGGCAGATTTCCAGTGATTGTAAGGAAGAATTTGTAACAGTGGAGTGCACTGCCTTGCAAAATAGTGAGTGCACATTGCTGGAAATATTCAAGCAAAGGCTGGAGAACATTTTGCCTGGGAAGCAGTATAAAGAATTCCTGCAGTAGGGGACTATTTCTAAGACTTTTCTAATACTATTTCTAAGTCTAAGATTTTGTGCTTCAAAGCCGGCAAAACATTTTAGGGTCCTCCGAAGATAAGTATCATAGGGATAAAAATTTAATATAATTTAGTCTTATGTGTAGTACTTTATGCTAGTTTTTGGAAAGTCATTAACATACCATCAAATCTTCTTAAGTCACTCCACTAGTAAACTCTTTGGTTTGTGCTTACTAGGCCTAATTTTGAAGAAATCAATTGAAAGTTAGTAAAGTCATGGAAATAAACTAGAAATCAGTACTATAGTAACATTATTTTTCTTAGGCATTTTTGAAAACAGTTTATGCTATGATAACAACATATGTATATCAAGTTGTCATCATACTAATTTACTTGAAGTGAATGATTAGTATACAATAAGACTTTGTACACTTGCTATGACTCATTAGCCAAAACTTGAGTTACTTTAGAATCTTGAGGTATGTTAATAGTCACTTTTGACATAGGTAATTAAATTGATTGTGTAATAGCCTCAGTTGTTGAGCAAAATGACTAATATTTCTATATCAACTTCACTGGTTATTTCAGTTGTTTATACTTGGCCCAGTATGCAAAGGAATCCGAAGGTTGGTGTACCAATCAGCATCGTTAGCATAACTGATAAGCTGCTTACCTTTCCCTTCAAATTGTCTTCCTATTGGACTTCATCTAGAGTTCTGTTCAGCTGAGTTGTCTAGAGGTCCTTGTACTCTAGTATTTGGCTGCTGTCTGACCTCCATATATTTTGCTGTTGCATCTCATGCTGCATAAATAGGTTGGATTGTTTGTTTTAAAATAGAGAGCAAAAAGAACCTAAAGAACCATGAAAGAAGAGATTTAATTTTGTGAGGCTGGAAATTTGCATTTTTAAATTAATCACTTTAAGCATGCTGTTAATACTTTTTCACTATAGAACGCAGGGCATTTTAATACTGCCAGCTCTTTAGTGTTGTTTCATTAGGCATTAAACAATATGCTAGGTGTGAGTGACCATTGTAGATACCAAGATGTATAAGAAATTGACCTGTTCATCAGGATCATGCAATCTGGGGGGCTGGAGCATTGGAGGAAGCACAAACATGAGGTAAGAGGGTGGAAAAGAAGAATGAGGGGAATGATACTGTAGGTATGTGAAGAGTTTGTAATGGCCATAAGTATTATCTGAGTTCAGATTAAGATAAGTTCACTAATGGCAATGTTAATAAATAATAAGAGTAATAACAATATCTAATATTTCTTGGGTCCTCATCTATGCCAGGCATCATATTAAGTGCTTTCCATGAACTAATTCATTTACTTTTTTCACAATATGCCTCAAGGAAGTTGCTCTTATCCCCATCTTATAGATGAAGAAGCTGAGGCAAAGAGTTATTAAGGAATATGCCCAGTGTCACTCAGCCAGTAGGTGATTGGAGTTGTAATTCAAACCCAGATGTGTCTAACTTTAGAATCAAATCTTTTTCTCATGGGTGATCAAGGAGAAGTATGCCTACTAGGTGGTTCTCAAACTAGTTCTTGAAGAATGGATTGAATTTCTATAGGCCAAAATAGAAGCTGTGAAGAAGAGAGTATTGCAGGTCAGGAGAAATTGTGTACTTTAAAACTTAGAGGCAAAAGAGTACAGGGCATATCTGAAGGAATTAAATGGATCAGTTTGAGGAAGGATTTGTTAGGGAGAATAGTAAGAGATAAAGGTGAGGAGGCAGCTAGGGCTGCACGGGGACTACTGAGCTTGGGAGTTTGGAGTTTGAACGTGATGGAGAAGGTAATGGAGAATCTGCTGAGGTTTTGAGTAGATATGATCACAGTGGCATTTTAAGAATTTTTTTTATTATTTTCTATTTTAGATTGGGTCTCACTCTGTCACTTAGGCTGGAGTGCAGTAGCACAATCTTGGCTCACTGCAACCTCTGCCTTTCAGGCTCAAGTGATCCTCCCACTTCAGCCTCCCCAGTATCTGGGACTATAGGCATCAAGCCTGGTAATTTTTGTATTTTTTTGTAGAGATGGAGTTTCACCATGTTGCCCGGGCTAGTCTTGAATTCCTGGCCTTCTAAAGTGCTGGGACTACAGGGATGAGCCACCACACCTGGCCTATTTTAAGAAAATTGACCTAGTAGATATCAAAGATATCAGAGAGCTTTGAAAAAGAGAGCCATAAGTAGAGCCAGTGAGAGGTTGTTCTAGAAGCCCAAGTGTGAGATAATAAATGCCCAAACTGGGATTTTGAAGTGGTAATGGAAAGAAGGAGACAGATGTGAAGGGTTGTGGAAAAGACTTGGGCACTGATTAGATTTAGGAGGGGAGGGATCAGAGATGTCAACTCAGGATAGATATTGTTCCTCCTAGATTATAGGCGTTTCCTGATTAATAGAGGGCAATGAAAGAATCATCTCTGTCTCTTTCTATTCTTTCTGGTATGAATTTTCTTTTTTAAAACTTCTTTTTTATTTAAAAAAATGTATCGTTAATGGACAACACATATTTATGGTATACAACATGATGCTTTGATACATGTGTACATTATGGAATAATTAAGTCAGGCTAATTAACATATCACTTCACCTAGTTAGCTTTTTTTGTGGTGAAAACATTTAAAATCTACTCTCTTAGTAATTTTCTTCCTTTTTCCTTTCCTTTCCTTCCCTTCCCTTTCCCTTTTCCCTTCCCTTCCCCTTCCCTCTACCCTTCCCTCTTCCTTTTCCTTTTCCCTTCCCTTCCCCCTTCCCTTCCCTCTTCCTTTCCCCCTTCCCTTCCCTCTTCCCTTTCCCCTTCCCTTCTGTTCCCTTCCCTTCCCTTCCCTTCTACTGAGTCTCTCTCTGTTGCCAGGCTAGAGTGCAGTGGTGCCATCTTGGCTCACTGCAATCTCTGCCTGGGTTTAAAGGATTCTACTGCCTCAGCCTCCCAAGTAGCTGGGACTACAGGCACGAGCCATCACGCCCAGCTAATTTTTGTATTTTTTAGTAGAGACGGGATTTCACCATGTTGGCCAGGATGGTCATGATCTCTTGACGTCATGATCTGCCCGCCTCAGCTTCCCAAAGTGCTGGGATTACAGGAGTGGCCCTTTCTTTTTTAAGATGGGGTCTCACTATAGCACAGGCTGGAGTGCAGTGGCACAATCATAGCTCACTGCAGCCTCAAGCTCCTGGGCTCAAGTGATCCTCCTACCTCAGCCTCCTGAGTAGCTGGAACTGGCCAGCTAATTTTAATTTTTTTTCTTTGTAGAGATGAGGACTTACTTGGGGACTTGCTGCCCAGGCTGGCCTTGAACTCCTGGCTTCAAGGGATGCTCCTGTTTCAGCCTCCTAAAGAATTGGGATTATAGGCATGAGCCACTGTGACCGGCCACAAAATGTACACTACATTATGATTGACTACAGGAACTATATTGTACGATAACTCTTGTTAACTTACTCCTCCTGTCTAATGGAAA